TTTCAACAATTAAGTATACACCTGCCTGTGCTTTTGGGACTTGAAGTGTTTCCATTATGTTATGTATGTTTTATGACAAACTGTACCATAATTATAATTCACACTTCCACTTTCAGTTTCCACGCAATCCCCTGTGACGTTAATAATTAACTTTTAAATTAAAAACATAGTAAACACGACATGCTGTGAGTTCACTAATTAATTTCACGCCATGCCTCTAGAGGGACCGGCAGAGATTAATAGTGTGCTGTAAAAAGTAATGATAGTGATCATTATTTTGATGGTTTTGTTACAAACTGTGTTCGTTATGGAAGTGTATAGAGAATTGAATTAGGAAAATAAATAATATTCGTGGAAGAGAGCGTACTTTTATACCCGGTAAACGAGCAGACGGATCACTTGATGGTAAGCAATCATCGTCGCCCATGGACACCTGGAACACGAGAGGCGTTACAAGTGCTTTTGGGGATTAGGAGTTGGAGGATCGTTGGGGATTGGGGAGATTCGGGAAGGAGAGGGTAATTGGGTCTCCGTTAACGTCACTCACACGATGAAATACAACGCCAGCGTTGCTTCACGTCGGTTTTCTGTGAGGCCGTGGTATCACTCCGGTCGAGCCGGCCCATTCGTGCAGAAGCATGGCTCTCCCACACTTTTTGAACATTCTTAAGTTATGCAGTAGACTATTTTTTTTTTTCGAATAAAAAGAAGAATGGGAGAAATGGAAATCCTCGAAGGGTAGGCAGAGGTTCACACATACAGCACAGCACCCATGTTTCACTATTTACGTTACATTATGTATACACGGTGAAATTTATTTCGTTATCGCCTGGAAGTCAAATGATTCTGTCTTGGTAATACAATAGTTTTACAAACAAATAAAATGTTTAAAACATAAAAATACTGGAGAGACATTGCAGAAACCAAACTTCGAAAGCGTATACGAACTCATACTTAGTACATTATCAAAACATCACGCCATGTAATTCTCGATGAGGTCTTTCTCGTCGTGTGGTACGTGCGATGCGCATAGTACCCACAAATTTACGTCTTGTGTTTCATGTACCTAGCTAGCTTCACTGACGGACTGACTGACAGACTATTATTTATTTTGTATTTATTGACGTCTCAAAAGTACGACATTATAGTTTAATTAATTAATAATTAATTGAAATAAATGCTTTGACTTTGACTTTGAAAATATTTTTCAACTAAATAAATAACATATATGTTTTTGTTCTTACTTTATAGTTTTATACATCGAAAGTACTGTTTATGACAAGTTATTTTGCCTCAGGACGAAAACGGAATAGATTTCACAGCGCATATGCGATGCGAAACTCCACGCCATTATAAGTACCTGCTTAGACATAGGTATATTAATAAAAAACAGAAAATCCCGATCCAGGAAACGGAGGGAATCATATTCCTTTGGTCAGAAGTCGTTGTACTTGGAACCACTCGACAAACGAGACAGTCAAGGTACGGATTTTCTTTGTGTCCCTTCGTCCAGCATACTCACCATGGAATCCTGATATTTCATGAATGTCAAAAAACTGTTCTGAAATAGTGCTAAATAGTGCCCAAAGGAAAAAAATAGTGCTCTTATACTTGCAAAGTTATAGCCATAGTTCGATGAGTATGCTGGACGAAGGTTTCGCCCAGCATACTCACCTCCGTCCGGAGAATCTGTATACGCTTCAAACATAATTCATACTTCAAAAAATAGTTCCCAAATAGTGCCAAACGGTGCCCAAAAAGAAAAAACAGTGCTCGAATAACTTCGGAGTTATAGGCTTCGTTCAGTGAGTATGCTGGGCGTAGGTTCTACGCCCAGCATACTCACCTCAGTGCGCGAATATCGAACGAGCTATAGGTACAATTTACGTCTCAAAAAATTGTGCTTGAAATAGTGCCCAATATCAGTCCAATTTTTGCTTGACTTTTGAC